AAAATTTATGCGACAATGTCACATGATTAACATAATATATACACAATACTGAGTACATAAATCATAAACGCGTATCATCACATATTTAAAATATTTAAATATTTAGAACAACAACAAACACACAATTGTAATAAATTCTTTCGAGCTCGTAAGTACACATTTACTGAGTGACCTACATCTGGCAAAGACAAGTAGGTCGATCCCGCGGCATACGATCGTAATGTTATTCACTCGGCGTACGGTCGCTAATTATTATTATTGTTACGAGTGTGCCGCCGATTCGCTTTTCAAAACCGATTCCCCGAGATGTCGCTCCTCCTCTTCCACCGCCGCTGATGTTCTGTAGATTCCTTCGTCGCGTATTTAAACTTTCTAGCCCCGAGGTACCAATTGCGTTAATCACGTTCAATTACCAATTATTACGCTTACGAGCCGCCACCATAATACACATATACACGTGCCCGGATTCATTATTTACACATTACCTATTATAACATAACATAACATTATTGTGTGCGACTCCAGAGCATATACATAATAATAATAATAATAATATAACACTAAATACACGCGGTGCATACGTCGCCGTGCACGAGTTGTTTATGTAAATATATACGCTGTCAGAAAGTGTAAAAATCGAGTGTGAAATAAATTAATTAGACTAGGACTAACGAACGTCAACGATGACACTTGGAGACGGGAATAAATAAATATATTATATACATTACTTGTCTTGTTATTGTGCAGATAAAAAAAGACCTTGAAGGTTCTTGACGTCTCGGCGACAGTAGAATAAACGTGTGCGGTTACTTCTGGGACTAGTGACCAGTCCTATATTATTGCGTAATATATATACCACTTCCATTTTGGTTGTTAATAAATATTTTTTTATAAAGTGGCAATGTATGGAAGGAAAAAATGTATATGTTTTGATATTTATAATTGTGTACATTGTAACCATAAATATAAATCCATAAAAATAAATTTTCGTATTAATAAGATTAATTAAGTAAATACATGTATGCTGGATTTAAGGATGGCCCTAGGGAAGATCTAATATTTAATATTATATGGTAACAATATTTTTAAATCAGCCTTTTATTTGTTTTTTTTTTTTTTTAAGCAGGTCATTATTCTCGTATATTTACAACTTAAAAACTTGCCATTCCTTTTATTAGCGAATTGTCTACCGAATTTTTTTTTGTTTGTTTGAAGGAATACAAAATTTATTCAATAAGCTAGAATATAGAAATATTATTTATTTTATTATAAAAATTGATTTAAATTGATTACAATTAATATAATTAATAAATTATACATGAGATCTTCATAAAAAAAACAAACATGTTAAAAAGAAAATAATTTACAGGTCATTTTTTTTTTTGATAATCTAATAAATAATTAGTTATGAGTATAGTTTTCGAATATAATACTTTGTATACAATATTTAAGTTATACAATGGTTTACTTAAACAATATCATATAAATATATAATATAATTTAATGTTGAACTGAAATAGTTATATAATTATTGTACTTTCCAAATAAAAATATGTACCGATTTTTTTACTGAAATAGTTGTTTATTAAATGTTTTAAAGTATTTAAAGTACCTATATAGCTATTATATGAATTGAGTATTAATATAGTTATCTTAGTAACTGTAGCTGCTAGTATTAGTTGATAATCTAATTAAGAGGGAGTCACAACACCCAAATTTTGTCTTCATCTTACAAATAGCAAATACAATTACAGCAGTAACTTAGCTTTGTTACTTTTAATATTTAAATAAAGCGACAATTTGATCATTACTAAACTTAAAGGTATCGATGATATGTAAATTATTGTAACTTATAAATGCTCATAACTCGTTTAAAATTAAAATGTTTTGAAAAACTGATGTACAAACACAGATAATACTGTTAATTTTAAATATGATAATGTACCTACCAATTTACACTAATAAATATGTTATATCATTGCTAATTTTTATTATAACTACATTATGTATTATACCAAAGTTAAACGTGAACTTGCTGTGTTATATAGTTGTTTGACAGAAACAACAAATGCACTAATGCAGGCATTTTCATTACATCAAATAAAAGCATGTGTTTTAAAAATACCTTACAGGGAATTAATATGGAAATAAGTTTCATTACTTTCATTGAGCAAAAGTTATTTTTAAATTTTATTTCTGTTATTTTTACATAAATACTGTAAAATTAATAACATGAAAATTCCATTTTGGTGATTAGTTTTCAAAATTAAGGTTTATAAAGGAATTTATTATTTTATTTTACAGTTAATATAAGATACAAAATCAATTGACTATATAAATTGTTGTATACATTTTTATATTGCTTTTTAAATTAATGAAATACATATTAAATTAATGTATATAAATAATAGGAAGTTGTATACGTTTGTAAACTTAATTTAAATCAGTTTCTTTAAATAAGATATTTATTTTCCATGGATAACTGAACTGAACTAGTATACTATAAAGGTTTTAACACATTATACCTAATTATTATTTATTTATTATTTTTTAAATGTGCCTAAGATAATATTTAAAATTTACAAATCAGATTCATTGACATTTACTTATAAATAATAATATGAAATTATTATTTAACAACGAATATATAAATTATAGCATTTCTAAATATTTGTACTTTGTTTTAAAATAATTAATKGAATAATGCGTGTAGATTGTAGATGTTTTGTTATACTGAGTAAGGCTATTAAATTATCATAATTTTCATTCTAGGTATATTGGATAACATACTCAGAAAGAATAATAACTTGCTACATTAAACAAACAGAATCACTAATCCTTGATTTAATCATAAAAATATAATATTTACTGGTATTTAATATTTTATAATTTGTATCTTGAATAGAAAACACTATAATTTTTTAAGTAAAATTAAGATGTTTATTGTTAATCGAAAAAAAAAATTTTAATACTACTTTAACTGAATGTTAAGAACGTTGAACATAATACATAATATGGAACAACTTAAACTTAAAAATGATTTATGATATTAATATGACATCCATGAGTCACGGCACATTACTTAAATTTTAAAAAATATGCATAGTTTAATAACTCAGTTGACAATTATTTTGATAAATTTAAACTGTACCATAATTTTTATTTTCATTAAAATATACTGAATAGTTATCAGATATGTGATAGCATCCATCGACATAGTGATCGATTATGATCAATAGTACTCATCAATGCAACCAAATTAACACATTATTCAAAATATGTGTCTCCCATCCAAATAAGATAGTTAAATAAATTAGGTATGTTTGTTCAATGAAATAGAACATCACAGACTATCCGTTAAATTATAGGTATAATTATAAATTAAATATTTAACTGAATATTTACATATAAAAAATAATGGAAGACAGTAGGTATATAATACAATTATAAAAGGGTCCATCATTTTTCAAAACATAAATTATTGGTCGACATAAATTTAACTTTTAAATGAAAAACTATAAATAATTATTATAGTATTATATCATAATAATATATTGCATACATGTTTTAGACATTTTTTCCTACATTGCTGTTTTTCTTACAATATATAAACGAAAATAAAATACATTGTATAAATTATAAATGCTAAAACAAATATTGAAATACATGCTTATAAGTTATAATCGTAAACGTAGGTACCAAATAAAAACCTAAATGAGTTCCAAAGTAAACAATTTTTTTTACCTATTACAATAAATTAGTTCTCAATTAATACACAATATTGTAATTTGTAAACATTTCATTTTTAATGTAGAATTAAAATTAATATTATTTGTTTTTAACTTATTTAGTAATGTTTTGAACTATAATTACMTAGATGCATGTAGGTAGACGGACAAAATTAATATCTCAATACTGTATGTAAGGCTCTGTTCAGACTATAAAATTATATTTTTTTTTTATTTTTTTTATTAGTAGAAACACTTATAAATTACAGAATTAGTATGAGACTCAATACCTGTAATAGTAATACATATTAATAGTCTGAGATTACTGTAATAGTATTAATAATTAAATAACAAACAATTTTGATTACATTATAATATAGGGTAGAGTTACATGAATAGATTTACTAAATTAAAAAGTGACGATATTATGCATCACATTACTACTTTAAACTAGTAAATTCTTGTGGAACGCTCATAATTAATACAATAATTTAGATTTTTGGGTTAAAAATAATATTGTAATTATAAATATATAAATTTTATTTAAATTCATAATAATAAATAATAAAAATTTATACATTTTTATTTTTATTTAAAATATAAAACAGTATAATTGTAATGTATATATAAAAGCTTAGGTATGTTTTTATACTAATTTAAATAGGTGTTAGTTTTTAATAATCATAATGCATTATTCAAATGAATTTGTTTAATAATGAAATGTTCACTTTTCACAGTTATGAACAAAATTCTATGTATACAGTACATTTTCCCTCTATGTATATTCTTTAAAATAATATAGTAATAAATAATATTGTAATAAAATATTACAACTCTTGATAACTATATTCAATATTTTGGATTATGATATTTGATTCAGTTTATAATTTAAAACATATGCTAATTGTTTTAATAATTTTTGAATATTTTGATCAGAATGTAAAATAAATTTAGTATATCACATTTATACTTAATAATGATAGATCATAACAACATAAGTTTTTAAAGCTATAAATGTTCTCTAAAGGCAAGACATCAATACATTGTTTAAATTTTACCGGTGTTGACATTATAAATCAAAATAATAATAATAATAATTTTAATGAAATAAATATATTTGACATAAGCGATATGATAATGATCAAGTAGTATTCAATGTTTTAATATACCAAAACTTAGTAAAAGGTAGCCAAAATCAGAAACTAAAATATTGTTTTATATTGTTATTAATATTTATAAATGTGAAATAAAAACTTTGAGCTTTGTGTATTCACATAATATAATAATGTGTATGTGGTAACAAAAATTGAAGAGAAAAAAAATAATAATTATAGCTTAAAATTGAAAACACTTACACCAACAATTGGATTTAACAACATTTTCTTTTTGCTCCTTTTGAGTGACCTTTTCTTAAATTCACTACATCATTGTTTTGATGAGCCTGCCGTTCCTTAGTTTCCTTTTTATTACGCAGTACTTGTTTAGTAATCGACATGAACATCTATACAAATATTTTAAAAAGTTATATATATATATATATTTATTGTAATCAGTTCATTAGAGATAAATCATTAACTCTTAATTATAGAATGGCTTAACGATACAATAATAATTATTCATATCAATTAATAATTTTTAAATTAACATGCCATACCTACCATATGTTGTCCCTGTCTAACTAACGCACAACATACTGCATAACATTGTGAATGTAGTGTTTACATTTACAATAATCTATTTTATTCTGTTATTTTTGGATTTAATTAACATGTTATAAAATTTAATGGCATTTCTGAAACTTTTATAGATATTTTAATTTTAAATAAGTTATATAATTTTAAATTACATAAAAAATACTGTTTTAAAATTCACATACCTAGCTTTATAATTAAAATATCAATAATAGCCTCCGAGATGCTTTGGATGATAATTTTACCTTCACATTTTATCAGGTCAATTCATTCTAATTTAAAAATAACAGAGCAAAATAGAATTGAAGGAATGTAAAATTGTGGGTGTTTCAGGAATTTTCCTTAATGAAAATCATACCAATTAAAATAGTCAAAGGCGAAACTACAGATCAGTCCAGTTTGTTCATGGACGGATCCACCATAAATTAAAATTAAAAACTTATTTTGTGATAAGATTATTTTACCATTTGGCCTGTTCTTAAAGTTGTTTTTAGTTTCACTTACAAAAATAGTAAAATTATTTAGTATAAGATTATTTTTTTATTAATTAAAATTTTAAATAATTATAAATTTATTATAAAGGCATAGTGATTATTTACTTACAGCACTAATACTATTAAAACATGATTTGAATTTTTGATAATGGAATCAACATTTGATAAATATATATTATTTACATTATTGCATAAGCCTAATATTTAATTTGDTTTAAATGAAATTAATTATATGAAAAATTCAAAATTCAAAAGAAACCCTTGAATAGATAATGAATAATTATATTATGTTTATTAAGTATATATATTATAAATATAAATCTATGAACTTCTCTTAACTTTAATGTTACATTTTAGAAAGGAGAATAGAAATTGGAAAGTAGATAATACAGGAATATATGAAAAAGTAATATTTGACTTTTAAGGGGAGAGACAAGAGAAAGTTAATCAGAAATATAAAAAGATTATGGGAATAAACTAGATCAATCATTGACCTTAAACTTCAATACCTAGTTGTAGACATCCAAAAAGTGGCTAAGTTTAAATTTTTAAATTTATAATTTTTTTTAAGTACCTTAATAATTTTCTTTTCCTTGGTTGCTTTTAAAATGTATCACAACTTAGCCAACATTATACAAAAAAATGACATAATATGAACAAAAATGTTCACTTAACTATTTTTGGCATTCAGGCGAAATAGTAATAAATAATAACATTTAGATATTAATAAACAGAGATACTTAAAGTGCTTACATGACTAATCAGAACAATAAATACATATGTTTAGTATAATAAGAGATAATAATTATAATATTCATTAAATTAATATTAAACATCATATGAAAATTAAGATGTTATCATCATATCAGATTTAGTATATTTAATTATTCATGAATTTATAAAATTCAATATTAAATAATTAAATTATGATAGATACCTGTTCAACATTTATGTTGTCTTTGGCGCTTGTTTCATATAATTGGATGCCCATTTGATCAGCAAATCTTTGAGCATCTTCTGTCAACACTACTTTTCGATCTGGAGCATCGTTTTTATTTCCAACTGAAAAATTGGTCATACGAATAAACAAAAAAGCAATTAAAATTAATTTAATACTTTAACTAAAAGTCAAAATCAATAATTAGAGTTTTAATTGGGTAGTCTAAATAACTACATTTTAAATTTAATTTCTGATAGCAATAATAGGGTATAATGTTATGGATTATTTTTCAGTTCTAGTTTAGCTAACAACATTAAGCAAAACCTATGAATTTAAAACATTAAAAAGTACATTTATTCATTTGATAATTTATCTTTACTTTAAAAATATTTCATTAGATTTTGGATAACTAATTTTAATTCATTTGTATTAATAATAGTTAAATGTACATAATATTAAAAGGAATGTTATTATCATTATTTCATAAAAAGAATAAGAAATATCTCTATGTATAGCGATAAAAATAAATTTTAACAACAGTAATTAAATTAATAGTTAATGTAAACAAGATATGATATTTACCTAATATCCTATTTACAACTTCACAATTTTGGTCGATCTCATGTAACCATCGTTTGACATTTGCAAATGAATCTCCATTGCTAACATCGTATACAACTATAACACCATGTGTACCTCTGTAATAACTGTAAGTAAAATATTTGAAAAAATGTAACATTAGCTATATATGCAAAAATTCAAATAAAAATTTAACAAAATTGCAATCCCTCACGTTGATGTAATTGTTCTAAATCTTTCTTGACCAGCAGTATCCCAAATCTGTAATTTCACTTTTTCTCCATCAACTATTACTGTTCGGATTTTGAAGTCGACGCCTATGGTCGTTATATAACTACCAGAGAATGTGTTATCGGCAAAACGAACAAGCAATGAACTTTTGCCAACACCTTTAGACAACAAAAAAATAATTTTAAAGTCATTAGTTAAATGTATAAACTTATTGGAATGTAATCGCTTAGGAGAGAGCACATTCGGCAACATTACGAGCACTTACCACTGTCTCCGATGATTAACAGCTTAAACAGATGATCATATTCTTTAGCCATAGTGTTTGTAGACGTCCAGGGTAAGACAATTACGGTTCACGAGTAGTGTCTTATAGTGACATCTATGGAAAAATCATCAGGTATTGTACATCGACAGTATAATTTTGACCAGAACCAGAGCGTCAAGAGTTACTAGTTGACTAGTGCGTAGAAATATTCCGTAATGATATCGTTAAACAGCAGACGCGAACACTGAATGATAGAACACTTACACGAAATCATGTATAAAAAATGTAAAAAATGTTACAGCACAGGCAAAAAATGAATACGAATTAAAATTTCTTATTACAATCATAACATGAATCATCCACAAAAAAAAAAAAACGGAAAACAAAAACGGTTCACTGATAATGAAGAAGTTCCAGTGTTCCACCACGGTCGCATTTCACTGTGATTTCACGGTAGCTCGTCGATTATCATCCAGAGACATTCTCACAGTGTTCAGTGATAAGTGATGATAACATTCCCACCATTTATTATTATTTTAGGAGTTGAGGATCACAGAAAACAGAATTAAATCTATTCTGTGTTCTGTCTTCTGTCCTAGGACACTCGGTGCTCGGTAGTCGGCATTGTTGGCGTCCACTGTGTCCAGTATTACACTATTACTTATTGACTTTCGTTACTTTGTTAGTCTTGAGGCCTGTATTTCTGTGGGAGTGAGGAAGTGAGGAATAGTAAATTACACAATGATCAATGATTATCATAATGTGCTGTAGGCAACTACCTATACTGTGTTTGTAAATTGCTTAGCCGCTTGGGCCATARGAGTATTTTAGGACCTCATRGACATAGGCTTGTCAAGTTGTAACTCGCTACAATATAACAGTATTTATTATAGATATAAGATACTCCTGGCTGAGAGACTGTAGTAGAACCTTCTAGACTTCTAGTGTTATTTTGATTTTTAAAATATTATTATATATTTATTAATAATTTTCATTTTACCATATCTGGATTTCAAAATCTTTTTAGTCGTTGATGAAAATCCGTTAATTGTTTGTCAGGTATGATACTATCTTTATATTTTTTTGCCAGGTTATTTTGATAGTTTTTGTTTTACTTTATAGGTACCAGTTATACTATGTATGGAATTGGATTTTTTTCAAACATTTTTATTTTTWCTATTATAACATTTTTGGCTTATATTGATCAAATCAATGCTGGTTCGCCACCAGTTGTATTATGGCATGGAATGGGTAAGAATTAAAATAAAATTWCTTATTTTATGGCATCTATCATAATATATGTATGTTATAAGTTATAACTGATATAATAATGTATAATAATTTGTATCTTCAAGATGTTCTAGTTGGTAGGAACTTATATTTATGGTATACTTTTATGAATTTATTTTAGCACAATGTAATATATTTATTACATCTGTATTAATTTATAATGTATTAGCAGTTATAATATTAGTTATTGGTTTATTACCTATGCATATTTATTTTTTGGTATCAGTWACCTTTTTTCTTTTTAAATACAAAATAATATTTCCATTTTAGGTGATAGTTGTTGTAACCCATTAAGTCTTGGAAGAATTATTAAGGTATTACAGAAGAACTTGGGAAATGATTCTTATGTGAAATCGTTAAAAATTGGAAAATCGTTTGAACAGGTATTTTTAAGATTTATTATTAATATTATGTGGAATTTATTTTTCAATTGTTAATATTAGAAAATGAATAACAAAGCTGCTAAAATTATGAAATTATTCTAAGAAGTTATTGGGTTTTTCTCACCATACTCTACTTAAGTATAATATTTTTAATTGAAAAAACAGAATAATTTATCATTATTAGGTAGCTATCCATAAATGTTTATTATTATGATAAATAATAATTTTAATATTTTAATATTACGGGAAAAGTATGTAAAGGTCCATATTTTGTTAACACCAAAAAAAAAAAATACCATACCTACTTGTAATTTTTTTGATAGGGTCTTTGTATATTACCCAGAAGTCATCTCCAGATGATGACTATCATTGAGTTCCAAAAATTTTATATTTAAAAAMAAGATAATTTGTCTCATTAAGAGGATACCACACCTGCTTGTGCTGTTTCCGTCTTATAAACTTACAAAGTGGTAAAAACATGGTTTTCGGGTACATACATAATTCTGTAGACATTTATACTAGAATGTTCAAATTTTCAGAGTTCATAGACAAATCTGTAAAAATGTAATAAATTTTAAATTAAATTAAATTATTGAGTTGAGCGATCAAAAAAATGAAAACACTACATCATAGATATTATAATTCTCAATAATTATGAACTTAATTTGAAAATTGTAGTATAAATATATACAGAATAATGTGTGTACTCACTACTCGCAAATCGTGATTCTACTATGTTGTACGTTTGTAAGACGAAGATAACACATGTGGGTGTGATTTCCTCTTAAATGTAAGTTGAGTAAATCATGTTTTTGTCTAACTAATAAAGTAACAAAATATCAAATTGTACAATAAAGAAAATTAATTTTACTCTATTGTTTTTAATATCAGTAGTTATTGATGTATTAACAAATTTAAAAGTGAAAATATTACCTACGGCACCTCATTGATTTTTTTCTTGATATATTAGTCATAACAAGTTATATACAGACATTTTTTTTWAAATTTAAAMCACTTCACAATGTTCATAATTATATCTTGTAATTTGTTTACCTTTATATTTTTGTATTTCAATTAATTCTTATTCTTCTGAGTGGTGACTTATAAATTATATTATACAAGTTTTTCTGACCAAAAATCAATCCTTTTATGGTTTTAGTGAAAATAATTTATTTTTTCTGTTGATAACAATGCAAACCACTTGGATATTAATATATTATGGACATGTAATTGTACACAATGTAGTAAACACAAATTCAAAATTAATTTTAATTTTATATTGTCATAATTAAAGCCCGGATTTATATTCATTTAAAAAGTGTTAAATATGCAATTAGGTATAATATGCATTATGAATTTATGATACACTTTATAGAATGTACTTTTTTTTAAAACCACACTTTTACACCAAAGAAAATTCTAAATAATATTTTATTAAAAAAAAAAAGATAATATCTATTGCTAGATATTTCAAATCGTTTAAATCAATCTAAAATTTA